TTTAGCACAATAAAAACACTGTACTTCAAAAATAGAAAGCTACTTTAGACAAAATCAGGACTACTCTCTTTGGTCCATGTTGAATGTTCAAAACTCATTAAATTATTGGTTTCTTCAAAAAAATGTCAAGAGCAAAATTCCAATCATCACTAGTTACAGTACACATATTAGTTTCATAAACTCAAAATTACCCTCAAAATGAAAGGCAATAATTATTTGCAAGATTTTTTTCCTGCAATATAGCTGGGGTTTTGAGTCAAAACAAAATTTTTGATCTGGGCATTTAGTCAGGCCAACCAGAGTGGTGCCAAATGTTCTTTAGCTGCTTTTCAAGATGAGAACCAGAAGACCAACCACCTCAAGTGAATGTATACCAATGCCCAGCAATTGTGGAAACTCTATTGCCTGACTCTGAGTCAAGATCAGAGCAGTTTTCTCCAAAGGGAATCCTACAGTAGGCATCTGCTACTGACCTCCAAACCAAGACAATAAGGCCAGTGAAGCAATATTTGGGTCACTTAAGCAAGCTTTGGGTCACCAGAACCTGGTTCTTATGGGTGACTTTAACTACCCAGACACTTGTTGGAAGAACAATACAGCAGCTCACATGTTGTCCCTTGAGTTCCGGGAATATGTAGAGGACATATTTGGAATACAAATGTTGTGCCAGCCAGGATGAGGCACTGCTGGACTTGCTATCCACAAACCCAAAAAACCAGCTTTGTAAGATCTCGAGTTGTGACAGCCTTGGCTGCCATAATCACAGTATTGTGGAGTTTGGGATACTACTGAGCATGCTGAAGGTCAGTACTAAGACACACATTTTAGATTTAGAAGACCAAACTTCAGCATGCTCAGCACTCAGTTGGGAGGGATACCATAGGAAGCTTCCATGGAGGATAAAGAAGCTAGTGAGTACTGGGTGTTTGTTAGTAACAGCCTCCTAGAAATGCAAAATCAGTTAATCTCCTTTAAAGGTCAGGAGAGTAGGCAGAGCAAGAGACAACCTTGGCTTAACTGTGAACCTCTGAATCTGCTGAAAGCCAGAATGGAAGTGTACCAGAGATGGAAAAGCAGACAAAATTCTATTGAGAACTACAAGGACATTGACAGAGTGTGCAGAGATGCAGTTAGAAAAGCAAAAGCTCATCTCGAATTAAAATTGGCCAGAGATGTCGAAATCTCCATGAAAGGAGATGCCTTCATAAGTGATCTGGATCATGGATCCTGATGAAGTTTGCTGATGACACCAAAATGAGTGGAGAAGTGGAGACTTCAGAAGTGAGTCACCCAGCAGGAAGATTGGATAGACTGGAAGAGTGGAAAAACAAAAACCTTATAGAGTTCAACAATGACAAGTGCAAGGCCTCGCACCTGGGAAAACATAATCCAAGAGCACAGCATTGGCTGGGACTGACTCTTCTCAGCACTTGCCAGGCCACACCTAGAGTAGTGTGTTGAGTTTTGTCCCTGCTACGCAAAATAGATATGGATAGGCTGGAGAGGGTTCAGAGAAGGGCCACCGGGATAATCAAAGGCCCGTGAAGCCTATCATATGAGGAAACACAGAGAACTGCTTGGTTCAGCCTTGAGAAAAGAAAGCTTAGGTGAGACCTTAGCACCAGGTGCCAATATTTAAAGGGTGGCTGCAAAGAAGAGACTTTGTTTTTACAAGGAATCACATGGAAAAGAGAAGGGCTCAAGGGTACAAGTTACTCCGTGAGATTCTGATTAAACATGAGGAAAGTGCTTCACAATGAACAACTGGAATAATCTCCCTGAGGAAGTGTTAAATTCTCCAACATTGGCTACTTTTAAGATTTGGCTAGACAGGGTGTTGGGCTTTCTTGTCTAGACCATGCTATCAACAAGAAAGGTTGGATCAGGTCATCCTTGAGGTCATTTCCAACCTGGAATTCTATGAACATACTGATAAATTGAAAGCATGTGGAATGTTTAAGTCTTCAACAACAGCAGCTTCTCACAAAACAGGAAAAGCTTTTTTTACATCTAATATATTCAGTACTCCCCTCTCTCCCGAAGATTGCACTGATGCTTTATTTGTTCTTTACTAGAAATTAATCATTAACAATGCAGAATGTGCCTAGTGATACAATGCAGAGACAGGCACAGCAATTTGAAGATAGCGCTAAAAGATCCTGTGTGGACATCTGCACAACACTGTATTGTGTAAAGGGAACCAGAGTACCAACAATGCCATTCACACACAGGATATCTCTGCAGCGTAATTAAATGTGGGGGAGGTTATCTAAAGTAATTTTTTCTTGGAAGTTATTTCAACTGTTAGTCTGTTTAAGGTATAGAACACACCCAAAGCCATCCTTCATATACATATATGTATTTATACATATACTCACACACACACACAAATGTATACACTGCACTGACTAAAACACCTTATGCTTAACAACGCTGTTTCTAGGGATGTGGAAGGAAACTTCGAAGTGTCATAGACATAAGGACACTTACACTTCCTTTCACTGTTGGAATTATTATGCAGTAAGTTCACGCTATGATCAAAAAACATTTCACAAACTATTTGTCCTCATCTATTACTCACATGACACAGTTGAAAATGAACTTTATAAAATCCATTGCTTTGTCTCTGTTAAGCCACTCAGGCATTATATTATCTGCCTATCCCTTGTTGCCAGGCAATAATGCCATGTAAAGCAGAGACAACTAAGCACCCAACAATGTTTTAGAAGTGATTACACAATGACCTATGAAATAAAAATTATTTGGAGAAAGGTAACTTAAAACCCTCAAAGACGCTTGTTAAAGGAGGAAAGTTACAGCGGCAAGAATTTCACTGGCACTGGAATTAAAATGAGGAATGAGGTTTGTCTGTAAAAGAATATGTATTTCATCAGTTAGTAGTTGTAGCTTAACTTAGTGAAAGACAGCAAGCCATTGATCAGTGGCAGCATAATAGCCTCCTACAAAAAATAAGAACTGAGATATTCAAGGAAATTTGGAAACTGGGAAGAAGTTTCAGTGTGAGACAGTCATGAGACAATCTAAATTACTGAATATAGTGCTTCCTGATATGGTTGGTTTTGATCCAGACAAACATTTCCAGGTTGTAAAACAAAATGTTTTAATGTCTGTTGAATAAGACATTGTATCAAGCAACCAAATTAATCAGAAATAACAAAAATAGAACAAGAATGAAGATACAACATTTTTTTAAAATCCTCTCCCCTAAATATATATGTAACAAGGCACATTAGGAGAAATATCATCAATTACTTTATTATTCAATTTGACTTCAATACCTGAAACCAGTTTTCTCGTCATTTAAGACAATGGGGAGAAGTTTCAATTGTGTTTTACAGATGTAATAATTTCATTGTCTACTAAAGTGCAATGGCTGTGTGCCAAAAAGTATAAGCAGAAATCAAAATCCACAAGACAAAAAAATGAACCATGAAAAATAAGGTTTTGAAGACATTCAAAACAATGAGAGTATATGTATTCAGCCACATTTTAAAGCAATTCAAAGGCAAAAATATAACACTGAAAACAATTATAAACCTGTATTTTAACCTGTTCCCTGCCAAGCCCCTAACTTTGTACATTTTCCAAATAAGACTTAAATATTTTTAAAGAAAATAATTAATATTAGCATTCTTAGTACTTTAGAAAAAACCCCGATATGGAGTAAAATAAAGGCAGACAGGTTAATTTGTTATATTTTGAAGCACTAAGCAATGACTGGAGTGTAAGTTATATTTTAGCCATATTCTTTTTGCTGTGCAGTATGTGCCAGTGTTTTCAATAGTCCTGAAAGTATTTTTGACATCATAACAGCAAAACTTTTGAGCAATTTACTCTTGCTGTCAGCATTAAGAGCTAACTGCTGAAAAGCATTCAGTAGAGGAAAGATGTAAAATATTCCTTATTCCTCACAGAACTTTATGCCCTTTACATTTTGCATTTCATAAATAATTAGTCATTAGATTTAAAATTTCTATTTTCTTCAAAACACTCACATTTAAGACATTTCAACATGCACAACACTACTCGCCCTTTTAAACTAGAAAAGCACAAACTACTGAAAGCTAAGTATTTGAAAGTTTCAGGTATCTTAATCTTTCCAAAGATACAAAGTGTTCAAAAACAAGGTAGTAAATACATTAGTGCTGCCCCACTTTCAAATTTTTGGAGTACAATAACTATTTTATTAAACTTGATAATTTTGTTCAGTAGAAAAACAGTATATCATTTTCACCTCTTCCCATTTTTCCTCATAGGTGTATTTTCTTAAGAGTCTGTTAGGTTTGTGTGTTCTCTATAGAATACATGGAGGGTTAAGGGTCCTGTCATTGCTTAAATAAATATAGGGAGCTTATTTGCAACAAGTATCCTTTCTGAGGTTTGTAAAAGGGCTGGTAACCATCTGTATGTTTAAGATAAAATAATTTCCAGGGAAACATCTATTTAAGATTTATTTGTGCATATGCAACAGATTGTACTTAGTAACCCTCAGACAGTCTCCTTAAACTCCTGATTTCTGGCAAGCTAAAATCATGAAGAAATGATGTGCTAAATTTCAGAAAACTGCCATGAGCCATTCTTCACATGGCGCTAATTATATCAGGGTTGTTAAAGCTGTGGTTCTTAAACCCCATCAAAATTCATCTACATTCTGAAACAGACCTAACAGTTGTTTTGAATACTGAGCAAGAATATTCAGCATTCGAGAGATTCTTCTAATACAAAAATCAGTTACCTTGCTATTTCACCTGAAATCAAGGCGAATTGTGTACAGTCACAGCTTTCTTCTACATTTCAAAGCTTACCCAGCCACCTGTTCAGAATTAACCTCCAAGTTTGGCACACACAGCAATTTTCAGGATGTTTTATTACGACTTGTTAAGAACAACGATCCCATCGCCAAGCATTAACCTGACTGGCAGCTATTCAAGGTGCTTCACCTCCACTTCGCACACCAGGATTGCACCTTGCCTTTGAGGGAGGCACATTAAGGCGCAGTGCAGAAGTACAAGGGTTCCGACACTAGAGGACAGTCTCTCCATTTGACTGAGCCTCTAGATTTGTAGTGCACGTTCCACATAGCTTCCTTTCTCTTGCGCTAGAATTCAAGTTCATAAGCTGATGAATCCACTTGCAGGAAGCTTCTCTTCAGAGGAAAGATTTTTTTAAACTAGTTGATTTTTTTTCCCTTCTACATAAGTCTCATAGCGTTGCAAGAATTCTTGAAAAGGAGATAATTAATGTCAGTACTGTCTGTCCAACACCAAAGACAAGAGCTTCTAAGGGAGCCATATTCTTTCCTGCTACTCTGTAAATTCCAGCTACTGCAGCACCTAAGAATCACAAGAAAAACAATGATCAAATCACAGAAAAAGCCAAGGTTAAAATAAACATAACACAAATTATTCACTGTATCTATGCATCAGCATATAGAACATTACCAAACACTCTGTTACTTCATGGCATTACACAATGATTAGCTTTGCTTGAAATTTTCTAGTTACACAAGTCCTTCAGGAATGATTTTCCCAACTAAACCAGATTAACTTTTCCATCATCAGCTCAATTTAAGAAAATTGAATCTTGTTGTTTCCCTGTAGACATCTTCAAAACTACTTGTTTTTACATTTTTGCCTTGTGCCAGTTTGAAAAGGTAGCAAAAAGATAGTCTAAAAATTGACTGAGTCTGAAGTGTCGTTTGATATTCCTTGTACAGGCAGGGAGAAGACAACAATAAAGCTCCTAGTGTCTGCAAAATAATTGCAAACACAGATTTATCAACTTAATTTAATATTTCTGTTGAATAATGTGATCATATTATTTTGACTTACACTACTCAATTGTTAACAATTCTTTAGCAAACCAAGTAAAACATGAAAGAGATCAAAGTATTGCAGTGCTATCCATGAATGTGTATGAGACTGGTTTTCTTGTACAGTTGGCCAGGATCAGCCAAGAACAAAACATTGCACTGTGAACAAAGACAGGTGCTGCTAACTCCCTTCTAATGTCTTTCACACACTGAATTTATCACATGTGTTTGAAGAACGAAAGTCAGAGTGAAATACAGCTGGGATGTCATGGAACAAATGCCTGAGAAAGATGAGTCTTTGTATCAATCAAATAACCTAAAACCCAAACATGCTAATGATGAACTTCTGCGTCTTGTAAGGATGGTAAAATATTTATTCAACAAATGAAATACAGGCTTATATACAGCTGTGTCCATAGGTAAAAACGTACTCAGTCCAAATCTCATAGGTTCACCTAGAATGAAGCTTTTATTTAATAGTTTCCAAACTATTATTATCATCTATACATCTTGTTTTCCCTGTCCAAAGAACAAACATTACTGTCCTTCACTTTAGAATAACTTCTTCCTGAAAACCTGAACCCAAAACTTAACCCCAGACCTTCAGTATGTATGGTCTCAGTTGCTATCTAGTCATAATTAAATGCCTTCAGGCTCAAAGAAAATGGAAAAGTCATTGCAATTTTAAAAAATAATAGACAAGAGTTTAAAAAATTGGAATTTTCTTGGGTTTGCATCGTCATTAACAGGAACAGTCTGCTAAAGTGATCAAACACACATTAGGGACATGGAAATACATTGAGTCCCAACAGATTTTCTAAGTACAATCTGTATCTGAGTCATCTGACATCTGCAAAAAGTAACACCTCATTTTCACAAGAGAGTAGAATTCACTGACAGTACTTACAGTACACTAACAGTACTTACAAACACTACTAATAAGACTGTTAGAGAAGTTTTGGGTTAATTCTTTTGTTTTGGTTTGGGAGTTTTGTTGGTTATTTTTTAAAAACCCACATATTGTATGAAGTGTATTTTGCCAGAAATACCTCACCAGAAGGCTGACCTTATGGTATTTCACTCAGCTACCTTGCATAAGCTTTTCCATTTGTTCCTTGGCTAGCTGCTGTCAAAAACTGAAAGAGATCCTTTAAACTGAGTCCAGTACTGACATTAAAATTGGTTTTGTGATTGAACTCTTGAAGTAAATTCAAATCAGCCAAATTGGGATACCAGAATTTGGCACTACTAGTTAAGCAATAACAGAAATTTTGGGCTTCTGGAGAAGACACCGAGAGATCCTGGAAAATATCCATAGTAAAACAATAGGTATTTTTTAGCTTGCTAATTATGTTCTATTACTCAAATAACAGTGTGCAATACAACCTATAATGCATAACCCAGCACAGTTCATAGAGAGCCAAAGGTACATTACAATAGGCTGCCAACAAGGTAAATGAAAATATCTCACCACAAAGGAGTGTGCTGGGGGAGAGGAGGAAGAACAGACCCTTCTGGATGAAATACAGCTAAAATCCTTGCCTTAAGCTGTCTGATACTTATCTGTTCTTGGTTGGCTTGGTGGGGTTTTTCTTGTTGTTGGTTTATGGCTTTTTTTTTTGTTTACTTGGTTTTGGGCGGGGGATTTGGTTTGGTTTGTTGGAGGTTTCTGTTTGGTTTGCTTTGTTACTTTTTTTTTTTGACTGCATCCCCTGCTAGTTAGTAAACTTCCAATATTTTTTTACAACCACTGAGCTCCATGATTTTTCAATGCTTAGAAACTGAGGAGCTTCCTGCTTTTCTATATGCTGGTAAAAAGATCCCCCAAAGCCAGAAAGTTTAAAAGATCTACTTGAGCAAAATAAAACCTGTATTATTTAATGATCTATACTGCCTTCATTCACTTACACAAACAATGCAGAAGACTGGAAATACAAAGTGGAAATTGACATCAGTTTGCTGTTTCAGTTTCTTAAGCAGTGCCCCAGGCATATCCAGACAACTAATACTTCAACTTGCATCTCACAGTTTGCAACACAATAGCTGTTAAAAATCCTCTTTAATAACTGATCACCATGATTTGTCTTCAGAAGTTCCCTACGGAATTTCTTTCAGTACGAAACAACCCAGTTCTGCCCAGAAATGAAAAATACTTGAAAGTAAAAATATTTGGCTAACCAAGTTGCAACGGCCTATGCAAAACCTTTGGGAACAGCATAACAAGCCTACAGGCTAAGCTTAGAGAAATTCTCGGATGATTATGCTTACTTGCTAAATGTTTTGACCTGCAAAACTGGATGCCAAAAATACAACTGTGTTGCTCCTCTTTTTATGCATAAAGACACAAAGTACTGAGAAACACTGACCTAGAACCTTCCCCACCACAGAAAGTTGTGAAAGTCTCTGCTTGCATATTCCAACATCACATTTCCTAACTTCAGTCCTTCAGAAATGCTCATGCATTTCATGCATTAGATGCATGCTTCATGCATTATAACAGGCCACTGCCATTTCAATCATAACACAAAAATCAACACAACATGCAATGTAAGGCACTCCACTGCTTGTAACTCACCTCAGTAACAAAAAAAGAAACAAAAAAAACCCAAAAAAAAACAAAAAACCCCACAAAAATGCAAAAAACCCCAAAACAAAAAAAGGAAAAACAAAACCAAAAAGGAAAAACAAAAAACCACTTGCTTATATCAGCAGAATCAATAGTTTCTATCAGCAGAGGATCTAAAGGGTAGGATTAAACTATTTTGGTTCTGTACACCAGTCCTAGGTTACAATGTAGGCTGTATTCTATTATCATCTCCACAAGCTGTTAAAGCAGGTAGGGCAGTGATTGTTATCTCCTACAGGAAAGATGGAAAAGCAGCATCTGATACCAATAAGCGTAGATGAAAATATCTAAGCAGCATTTCTTCGAAACATTCTTGGCAACATCCCTTGTGCCATATTTGGTCAGGTGTAACACTTCAGCACTTTACTACATTAAACACTTCTGCTTTCTACAATGTTTCAGTCATGAGTACATGTTTTATCTATAGCTCTGTGAACCTTTCAGCATGCAGCTTTACCAGAAAAATAGTTGCATCTTCTCTGTGGATACAATGTTAAGAAATAAAATCTTAAGTGGTAGGCAATAGCTAACACCAGAAGAAAGTCTGTAATAAACACCCTTGCCGAAGAAGGATTTTACCTGGAACATCAGCGCAGCTCAATTATTTATTTATTTATTTTGCCCGGGGGAGGGGGTGGTGGCAAAGAGGGGAAATAGCTCTGTAACTGCAGAAAAATCCTTAATAAGCAATTAACAATTTGCTAAGAAAAGCATTTTTCTTTTTAGTAGTTAGATGCAAAATAAGGAGGAAAAAAAACCCCACAAAACAAACAAAATAAAAGGCAGACTTACTGGTTATCATTGCTCCAGTTATAGAACCCAGAAATCCAATGCTGACCACAATGACAGAGATCAGCCTTCCTTGCCTATGCCTCTGCAGCATCACAAACATTAATACTCCCACAGCACCATGGACAAAGAGAGAGGAGAAGAGAGCCCAGAGGAAAACCCAGTACCACATCTCTGAAAGAAAGCAGTGAAATAAAGGGTTAATATTTTTGAGACAATAACTTTCTAAGTAAACAACTTTGAAACATTGCATACAATCAACAGTAAGGGAAAAGCAATACTGATTTCCATCTTAAAATACATGTGACATCATCAGCATATGCTCAAGACAGTTCCCCCTTTCAGCAGTCTATCACAAAGGAATAATTTTATTATGATCAAAAAAAATTCTGGTAAAAATCTTAATTTAAATCTATTTTAAAAGAAGTCACAATTCTTTTAATGGTTTCTTTAATGGTGTCAAATACTAGATATTGTAACTACTTCTGCAGAATGAAATATTCTCCAACACAAAGACTGAATGAGGCAAAAGTCAAGAATTGTTTTGGAGTTTGGATTTGTTTTGATGGCAAGTTTTTATTTTGGGATGGGTGTGGGATTTCTGTTGGTTCCCTCCTTTTCCCCCTCCAAATAAGAACGAGCATCAGGTAACATGAAATGGGAAAACTGAGAAAAAATACTTCAGTTTATCTCCCCAGGACCTGTAATAGAGTGTTCCATCAAATTAGTTTCAAAGGCACATATAAAAATACTAAAATTTTTACAAGAAATTTTAACACATCTAACTCCTTGCTTCTAGTTGCTTAGCACAGGACTTCAGAGAGTGGTAGTCACTATTATTTAAGTTACTAAACAAGGACAAGAGATCATAAGAATGTGTGGAGTGCAAACACTCCTTTGAAGAATGGCAGACATGATAATTACCTTCAAAGAGAAGAGCTGGAACTATCAACGAAGCTCCACAATATTTTAAAGAACCTTTCTCACTTGGTGGTAATTTTCTAAAAACATCCACTATAAATCAAAAGTGTGGGTAAATAAAAGAAAAAAATCCCTTTTAAATCAACTACAGTAGGTGTATATATCATCACAGAATTCAGCCAATTGAGGTATATATTCTTAATTGACACAATCCCATGACAATGTCATTAATTCAGAGTTTTTGCTACAGTTCCCCCTAAAAAAAGAACAAAAAAACCCCCAACCAGCTTCCTTACAGCAGCAGGATACTTATTGTTTATGAGGTGAGCCTGTATTAATGCAGTTTGACTCACATCAGCTACTTGGGCAAAAATACAACCCAATTAGCTAACTTAAAAATACTTAGCCGCACAAAACATACTATGAAAAATTGCTGAGAAAGAATGATTGCTACACAATAACCATAGTCCTTTGAGTCCAATGCCAACAGTGTGTGTATATCCATAGCAAAAATACAGAGTTTAAGCTTTTTCATTTAGCAGTACTTTAAGAGAAGACTCAAACCTTACCCTTTCACACAGGCATAGAAGGCCAAACTATGCCCAAAGACCTACAGCTCCTCTAAATCATGCTACCCAAAAGGTTCTTTTAAGAGAGCAGCAAGGAAGGTAATCGGTAAATCTACATTCAATTAATACTTCAGCTGAACTTCAAGGCGTAATTTTTCTGAGTGCCTGGATACACACACACTGAGAGTGGCTCTAAGCAGCTCTCCTCAGATCCTCCATCCCTTTACCTCTGGCCCCAGGTTGGGTCTCAAAAATCTGCTCATGACTATGGTACTGTTCCACTAAATGTCTCATCATTCTCAGAAGCTACTGTGACAGAACACTGGCAGGAATGTCAAGTCTTGCCAATTTGTCATTCTACAAACACCCGACCAACCCTTTCACTAACATTAAGAAAGACTGACTGACTGATGATCTAATCTGCCATAGTCATGGATAGTTTGGGAGGGAAACCTCTCCTCGAGTCCTAATAGGCCTTGCCTGTCATGAGTACAGCTTGGATGTTCTCACTGTTTCCTTCTAGTGGAAGTATATAAGCAAGAACATTAGCCAAAGGATCTACCAATATAGAACCCAGCAGCCCTGCCAGACCTACAGTTTGACAATAGGGAAATAAACCTTAGGACCAAACCTAACTGGACCAAGAAAGTCCATTAGAATCTGACTCTATTACAGACACTGTCATTCCTTGTAATTTCCACAGGGTTTGCTAAGCACTGCATTTTGGGAAATTGTTTGTGCTCATTGTCAACCCTCACCAGGTAGAAAAGACAAATGATATCCAGTCTTAGGAAGACTTAATTGGATGACTGTATTTTTAGAAGAAAATGAAAGCTTATAGGAAGGTTAACTACTCTCTGTAACTAAGAAACCAAAAATATTTACAAACCTCTACACAACAAAATAGCTCCATAGTGAGCAACTATCTTCAGCCTTATTTACATTCCAAATAAGGCTCAAGGAAAATTACCATCACCCCTCACTTTATATTTAGGGCAGGAGGCATGAGAATAAAACCAGCACCAAATGTCCTGTTGGCTAAGCGAATATAAACTCAAGTTCTTTGGTACAAATTTTCTTCTCCTACTCCTTAAAATCAACACACATATTGAGTGCATTCAAGAGGAAATTTGTGAACATGCAGAAATATTCCTTGTTCCATACAAATGTAGCTGGACCATTTAAAGAAACCGGGGACAAACCATCACTTCACAGAGGCTTAAGTTTCTGAGTCAGTAGTATTGCAATGTCAGTGATGCAAGAAATACAGGTAGTGTTACACATACCTGCAATAATCCAGTACCTTCTTATTATAAATTATGAATAACAGCTTATCATTTTGCCAGACTTATTGTAGATGCTAAATTTGTAGGCGTTCACTTCAGCAGAGCTGGAAGTGAGCGAGGTGGAGAGAGTCAACACCTTCATGTCCAACTGAAAGTAAGAGGGAGGAAGGACCAAAATTTTATTGATTTGGGAAGGAGACAGAAGGGGGAAGTGACAGTTATGAATAGAAGGGTTAGGGACATGGGCCTGTAAAATTCCCATTCACAGAAGGCAGGCAGCAGCGTGAGGGCGACAGAAAACAGTGGAGTTAACTATCTTTATCCTCTAAGTAAGCAAATTGCATCTAGGTAATCTTCTATGTTGAATTGCTTTTTATTTGGGCAACTCTATCAAGCACATATACTCTGGATTATTTGCTATCCACAAATTTACGTATGTGTTTTGTTAATGAAAGTGGCTGAAACTTTTCTTTACCACATTACTAGACAAGCTATAAGCAGAGAAACTAGAAGAGTTTTAAGTCCTTCCCCTCCCCTCACACACATTCTTGCTAAAGATTCTCACATGCTGCAACAAGAATTGGATTTTAAGAGGGAAGAGAAAAGCCTCCCTGATCAGGAAACAAAGTACAACTCTGCCACTTCATCTGGTGGTTCGAGCTATTCCAGCCTCTCCCGTTAGTACCAAGATATCCCTAATTTCCTAGATTCTTTATAGGTAGATTTGGTTGGGGATTTTTTTCTTAGTTTGTTTGGGTTTAAAGATTGTTATTATTAACAAATAGACAATAATTTCTGTTTTTGCATCCTGATACAAAATAAAGGAAAAGGAGTAATCACACTACTCAAATATCCTAACATTATAGCTTACCTAATTATCATATGACAGTAGCATTTCAAAATGTCATATTAAAGAAATTGAGAACTTTATCACGCAAAACTTTTTAAACATTGATTGAGATCATATCTTTCTCTTGCAAGGTTGGCTTTTCTAGTGAGGGACTCAATGGAGCACAGCTATACATCTTCCAGAAAACTTACACAACATAGAAAATCAGAACAACTTATCGACATAAATTTATGAACCTTTTATCACAGTCAACAGTCATGTCGTCAAAAAAACCTGAAAGGTCTGTAATTCAGAGAATCAGATCAATTGTCTATTTCACATAAGTGTTCCCTGTTTTTTTTAGCTACAGACTACACATTTCCTACGAGTCTACATATTTATTACCAATTCTGAATACAAGGATTTTCTTATCTTCCTGAATAGTTATCATATTACTGATATTATCAATAGTTTTTTTAAACTGTGACCTCCCTTCATTAAAACATCACCTAGGTCTTAGGAGCTGAAAAAGGACAAACTGCTTTTGAGCACCTCTAGCAAAGACAGGAAGAGTCACGGTCTCTTATGCTTCCTTATTTATTCTTTTTATGCCTGGTTGTTCAATGCACTCACTTACGTACTTTTGCTCATTAATTGGGCCAGTGATGAAGCCAACCAAGTTGTCTAACACAGATTAACAAGGTAAGGGGGAGAGCCAATCTTTCAAGAAAATCGGAGAAGACTTCAAGCTCCATAAACCTAGAGGACAATGTATATGTTCTTGACATATCATGTCATGTTCAGGGCAGAGAACTATAAAATTTAGGTTCTCCAAAATTCAGTATCATCTAATACCAGAATCATGATGAGAGATGACTCTCAAAAAAACCCAAAAAACATGTTAGAGTAACACTGAAAGAAGCAAAGAATGGGCTGGGGATAACAGCGAGAGATGCCACTAGAAAATAGAGAAAGAGGATGTGGACATCTGAACACAGATGATCAAGACCTCACTTGTTCAAAAATAACTGAGTAACTGAAAGACTTGCAATATCTACAAAGGAAGAGGAAGTGAGACTGAAGTTTAAGAACATGCTGGTATAACTATTTATATTCTATATACTGAGTGATACCTTAAGAAGCTTAAACTTATGTCTATGATTATCTCTACTACTTTAATAAAACAAGAAAAGCCAAATTTCAGTCTTTATGTAGCTATACTAATTAGTTTGCTCTTTTGATGATACAAGATGCACATTCAGAGTACTTTGATGTTACGATGGTAATGACTTAGGTATATCTGGCAGAGCCTTCAAACACTAACCTAGCATCAATTATTTAGTCATGTGCTCACAGAGCTTCCGTAAGAGACACGACTAGTATAAAATTCTTTAAAAAAATAAAAAATCCTCACAACTTCCTTTGCTTTACCCTAGGGAAGTTTCAGAACTTACTTTCACTGCATCCAAACTATGTTAAGTCACCAAAACACTACTTACATGTAATAAAACTCCACAGCTCCTACAGAAATACAGGGAACTAGGAAAGGCCCAGTACTTACCAGCTTACAAACACAGTGACATTCAATCTATTGCATGGATGCCACAGCTTTTCTAATAA